TATAAAATCATGAGGGGCATAGATTAGGTGAATGGCGGGTGTCTTTTCCCTAAGGTAGGGAGTTCAAAACTAGGGAGTGTATTTTTAAGGTGTGAGGAGAAAGATTTAAAAAGGACATGAGGGACAACATTTTTACACAGAGAGTGTGTGGAATGAACTTCTGGAGGAACTGGTGGAAGCAGGGACAGTTACAACATTTAAAATACATTTGGATAAGCAGATGAATAGGAAAGGTTTGGAGGGATATAGCCAAATGCAGGCAGGTGAGATTAGTTTAGTTTGGAAATATGGTTGGCGTGGACTAGTTGGATTGAATGGCCTGTTTCCATGTGAAATTACTCTAAGAGTCTACGTGCCAGACTGAATGAAAGTGAATAGTTTGTTTCATTGGCAACCGCTGACTGTCCCTTTAAAGATTGCTGATGTTCTGCCAGTTTCTTTCAAATTTGATGAGAGGATCAAAAACAGTCCTCATTTCACCAATTTGCACATTCAGAAGGATCTCATGCTTATTTAAAGCAGTTGTCGTCCTGGGGCAGATGGGGCTGGAAATATAATACTCTGAAGTTGGTTGCTCTGAACCAATTAATTTTTATTCCTAACACCGTAATGACAATGATCGTTATCTCTCTGAAAATCTTCCCAGTGATGTTGATTAAGAATACATGGTAATACTATGTGTGGAGTGCTACGCACAGTGTTAGTCTCATTATTTAGTAAAGGATGCAAATATATTAGAATTGGTTCAGGGAAGATTTACTAAATTAATACTGGAAGGGGTGGGTTGTCTGCTGAGGAAGGGATGGACAGGCTAAACTTGTGTCCTCTGCAGTTTAGAAATTGCTGGAAAAAGCTCAGCAGGTCTGGCAGCATCCATGGAGAAAAACAGAGTTAACATTTCACGTCCAGTCACTCTTCATCAGAATAGATCCTATAGAGTCTTGACAAAGCGGATATGGAGAGTATATTTCCTCTTATGGGAGATTCTAGAACTGGGGGTAAAAAAAAACAGAAATTGCTGGAAAAACTCAGCAGGTCTGACAACAGCCATGGAGAGAAAGCAGACTTGACATTTCAGGTCTTGTTCTGATGAAGGGTCACTGTACCCTCCTGAGGCTTTTCAGCAATTTCTGTTTTTGTTTCAGATTCCCAGCATCTGCAGTCTTTTTTTCTGTTTAGTCTGGGGTGGGGGTGGGGGATGGAGAGAGCAGGGGGCTGGGGGTGGGGGTAAGGTGGTTCGTGTCACTGTTTAAATATAATGTCTTGCCATTGAAGACAGAGATGAGGAGAATTTTTTTCTCACAGGGAGATTGTGAGTCTTTGGAACTCTCTTCCTCTCAAAAAGCAATGGAAACATTGTCTTTGAATATTTTCCCAGGCAGACACAGCCCAATAAGCAAAGGGGTGTAAGATTATTAGGGCTAAACAGAAGCATGGAGTAATCAGATCAGCAGTGAACCTATTGAATAGCCAGACAGGCTCAAGGGTCACTCTTACTCAGGATTCATTTTTCTGTATGTAGACTTAATCAACTGGGCATTGCTATTCTCCTTCAAACAATTCACAGATATTCACTGAAAAGGGTAGCAAAGTCCTTGATTTAACTTATCACATGACAGTACAGCCGTCTCTCAATATTGCACTAAACAGTCAACCTGTGTTCAGTGTTGGAAATTTCTTTTGGCTGAAGAGCCTTTGAATAAAGTTGTCTAAAATTTGAAAAAAAAAGCCATTGGGACTCAAAAAGTAAAAAGAAAATCAGCAGTACTAAACCAAATACTGAACCATTGCCAAGTCACTGGTAGAATGCTTGACTTGCACATGTAAGATAAAAATGCTTATGTTTCATTTATGATGTTAAAAAAAATCAAAGTTATCATAAAGCTAACTGAATTATCACATACTTTAAAAAATATCAATTTTGTCACTAAAGTCATCTTTAAAACAAACTTTAATTTTTTAGGCATAGATATAAACATTTTATTTGGCAATTCACTGTTGACATAAAAATAGCTTTAATAGTGCCTTTCAGAGTAATTTTCATCTCAGTTATATCAGAAACACTAATGATTGCAAACATTAGATGTATTTCTCAGACCAATGCCATTACCTATGGCCATGGTGTAACTATACGAATCAAGCAGGTTTTTTTCAAACATGATTTTTTTTTGGTCACTCATGAATGTGGGCATCTCTGTCTGGGCCAGCATTTACCTGTCCGTTCCTAGTTGCCTTTGAGAAGGTGGTGGCGAGCTATCCATTTGAACTTGCTGTCCACATGCTGTAGGTTGACCCACAATACTGTAAGGGAGGGATTCCAGGATTTTGACTCAGCAACAGTGAAAGCGCAGTAATATATTTCCAAGTCAGGATGTTGAGTGGCTTGGAGGAAGACTGGCATGTGATGGTGTTCCCATGTATCTGTCCTTCTGGATGGAAGTGGTTGTAGGTTTGGAAGGTGTTGACCAAGGAGCCTTGGTGAATTTCTGCAGTGCACCTTGTAGATGGCACACACTGCTGCTACTGAGAGTCGCTGGTGGAGAGAGTGGATGATTGTAGATGTGATGCTTTTCCTGGATGGTGTCACATCCTTGAGTGCCATTGGAGCTGCACCCATCCAGGCGAGTGGAGAGTATTTGGTCACGCACAGACAACCAAAGCAGAAATTGCTGGAAAAGCTCAGCAGGTCTGGCAGCAGCTGTGGAAAGAAATCAGAGTTAACATTTCGGGTGTTCTAAGGAAGGGTCGCTTGACCCAAAGTGTTAGCCCTGATTTCTTTCCACAGATGCTTCCAGAACTGTTCAGCTTTTCCAGCAGTTTCTGCTTCTGTTTCTGATTTACAGCATCCATAGTTCTTTCAGTTTTTATTTAGTATTCTTTCACACTCTTGTCTTATGCCTTAGATGGTTAAGGAAGTTAATTTTGTCATTAATACAGCTATTTGAAGTGTAGTGTAATGATTTATCTTCCATCCCCACAGTAAAAGTATGGCTCTTACTCTCCTTGAATTTATTTTAAAAGCCTTTTCATGTTGAGGAGTTTCAATTGGAAAGGTTGGGAGCTACACATGCAATGTTAAAGAGCCCCAAGTGGCTTGGGAACCCAGGCTATCACCTTTTGCTGACTCTGGAGCAGCCTTAATACTCATGACATCCTGACTCAGAGGTGAGAATACTACCACAAAATCATGATTCACATTGATAAGCACAGTCAAAAATATTGGTTAGAACAGTTTCAAAGGGCTCCTTAAGTTGACCTTTGGGTGATTTTTATCATAGTTTAAGCACGTCATTGCCAATTCAATATTATTTCTCATTTAAATCTTTGAGCTCCCTCTCCCTAAGACAGTCCTGTAGACGACGGTAATGAGTCTTAATCAGATATTAACAAATTGTGATAGTCTTCAAAAGACAAAACGATGCATCTTTGTTGAATCATGTCTTAACGAACTGTTCATAGCAGACCATGATTTGTTGCTACATTTGACTGACTTTCTGCTACTCCTTTACCTTCTGACATTTAACTTATTTAACCAACAGCAAAGGTGAAACTTTTCCAATTAATAATTTTCAGCTTATGAATTAGTAACAGCAAAATATTATTATCAATATTATTACTGAATGTCAACTGTTTCATAAACAGCTCAGTTGAATTTAAAGAGGTTGTATGAGAGTAGCAAGATAAGAAATGTGAAGGGTTACATAATATGTACAATGTAGCTGCAAATTGGGTGATTTCCTCACCAAAACTAATCAAGGTGGAATAAGTAATTACTTCTATAGTGCCTGGTGTTTCCTGTGCTGAATCTCTTCACAGAAATTAACTTATGAAAGAACTGTGTGACAGTAAATGTATTCAAAGTTAAAATCATATCGAAAAAATATTCAGAGCTGCAAAGGCATCTCTTTTACAATTGTTATGCAAATACATGTTTCTGCAATTGAAATAATATTGTATACTGGCTCAATCTGTTCAGGCAATTTACTCTGTTCTCTTGCAGTGTGTTTTCAAGAGGAAAGGGCAAATTTTGTCTGTGCAGTGCCTACATATGAGCCATGACCAATAATTTTATAATATCTTCTTAACTGTTGCAGCTCCTGCAGCTGCCATGTTACTCAGTATCTCAAGAGTCAAGTATGCAACAAAGATAGGATTAAAACATTTATTGTAACCTGCAAAGAAATGATCTCTTATATGGCTTATTTTATGAGATTTTTCCCAACCCTTCCTGTAAAATTTGTAAATCAAACTAATAATTAAGACTTATTGAGCAATGCGAATTAATAAGTTGTTGCAGGCAAAAACTTCACTGGAGTAAAAATATACTGTAATAAATTTTAATGTTACCCTTTTCTCCCAGAGCTGGTCTGCACTCATGAAAAGATTAATGTATTGAAAGAATCATTTGCTATAGTTGTCTTACAGTAATCACCAGAAATAAGCAGTCACATTTAACTGCATTCAGGCTTTGTTAATCTTTTGCTGCTTTACAAATGAATGTTTGAAACCATTACTTTAAAGCACTAAGAGATAGACAATAAAGGGACATTCCTTGTGGAGGACTGGAATGTAATAATGGACTTAAAAACCTGTAATGTCTTATCTGTGTCTTCACACCATTTGTCATTTCACTGCTCTGCAGTTATCTTGAGCTTGTATAAAAATACCTTGCACAGGCTTATTGCAGATTCTAATGCTCAGCGATTACTAGAAATCCACAATAGTACAATAGACTTGCCTTACACCACTTGAAGAATTGTAAAAAGCCTCACACAACATTGCACTATTATGGTTAGTTAAATGGTTCAGGACAGCATCTCACCAGCATGTGCTCAGGAACAACAAAGAGCAGGCGATAAATGTTGGCTTTGTCATTGACACCCGTGTCCTGTGATTGACTCTTGAAAGAAATAAATGTGTTACAAGATTGTAAGTGTTTGTTATAACAGTTCAATATGTGCACCTTATTTTTTACTTGTATCATGTTTGTAACATCACAGACAACACTGCTGGAATCTTACCCAAGAGAAATGATTACAGTCGCAGGCAGCTAGAGCTCTATTTCCTTCCAGTGGTGGTCTCAGACAGTGGTTATCCTGTACAAAGCAGCACAAACACATTGACTATTCGAGTCTGCAGATGTGATGTGGATGGTACCATCTTATCCTGCAATGTAGAGGCAATCTTTTTGCCAGTGGGTTTGAGTACAGAAGCGCTGATAGCAATCCTGCTCTGCATCATTATACTTCTCGGTGAGTTGAGCTCTGTGTCATGTTGTTACATTGGGTGCCTAATTATTTACCATTACACTTTGTCAAAAATTGAAAGGGTTTCTCGATTACCTGTAAGTTTGGTAAGTTATTATTAAAACACCATTAGACATTGTGTTTCTTAGGTTTAGTCAGTTGTATATTGATACAGATCCTATCTAAAGTTTAGTGTTCCCATGGAAACTAAAGGTGGGATGCGGAATTGTTTGCCACTATAGCAGCCAAGGCCAAAACATTAGATGTTTCCAAGAAGGAGTTAAATATAACTTTTAGGGCTAAAGAGATCAAAGGGTCAGGGGAGAAAGTGGAACAGGGAACTGAGTCGGAGCATCGGAAACTGAGAATTAACCTTACAGAGGTTTATAAAATCTTGAGGCGCATAGATACAGTGAATAGCCAAGGTCTTTTTCCCAGGGTGGGGGAGTCCACAATGAGAGGGCATAGCTTTAAGGTGAGAGGGGAAAGATTTAAAAAGGCCTCAGGGGCAACTTTCTCATGCAGAGGGTGGTACGTGTATGGAATGAGCTACCAGAGGAGGTGGTGGAGGCTGGTACAATTACAACATTTAAACGGCATCTAAATGGATATATGAATAGGAAGAGTTTAAAGGGATATAGGCCAAATGCTGGCAAAAGGAACTGAATTAGTTTAGGATATCTAGTTGTCATGGACGAATTGGACTGAAGGGCTTGTTTCAGTACAGTAGAACTCCATGACTCTATGCATTCCAGCTAAAATGAAAAATAGGAATGCCAATAAATCCTCTTGCTGGAACTTTCTGAATCTTTCTGAGGAACAGGATGAGTGCTCACCATGGAAACATTTATAACATTTGTTTCTTCACATTCATCTGGAAAAGTGTTTCCTTAGAAATAAATACTCAAACGTCTATGCTAAAATATAGATCATTTCAGGAATTTACCAATAGAACCAAGAAATTGCTACTAATTTTATCATACAAACCTTTTAGATTGTTGTGAAGCTGTCATTTTTTTATCAATGACTTTTGTGGAAATTTAAACAAACAATAATATTTCTATTGTTACAACAAAAACAGGGAAATTTGCTTCATCCTTTGATACTCTGAATTGAATTCATATTTAATATTTATGTATATATATGACTATGTACATATATAAATAAATATATTTTATATACTTGCATTCAGTGAACCGCTTTTAAAGAGAGGTGATTGTCATGAGAATTTAAAATTTCTGACACTGTCTCTACAAGTTCAGTGGATTGAAGGAACAGAATACATAAATGACCTGTGTGTTACCAGACAACAAGGTGCAGGGCTGGATGAACACAGCAGGCCAAGCAGCAT